AGCTGTAGGTTAACAACATAGGGAAACCCAGGTTAGGAGTATACAGGAACTCCATTATCTTTTCAACTTTTCTGTAAATTAAAATTATTCCAAGTTTCAAAAGTTTATTATTATTATTTTTTTAAAAAAGCCAGTTGTTACCTTTAACTTGAACCATTGTCAGCAATGGTTACCAATCTTTTTTTTTTTTTTTTTTTGAGATAGAATCTCTCTGTCTCTGAGGCTAGCGTGCAGTGATGCAGTGCCAGCTCACTGCAGCCTCCTCCTCCTGGGCTCAAGTGATCAGACACGCACCATAATGGCTGGCTTTTGTATTTTCTGGTACAGACGGGGGTTTCAACATGTTGGCCAGGCTGGTCTCGAACCCCTGACCTCAAGCAATCCGCCTACCTCAGCCTCCCAAAGTGCTGGGATTACAGGTGTGAGCCATCGCGCGGGGCCTATCTTATTTTTGTTAGTCTCATTTCCCTCTCCTGGCCTCCTCTTTTGCTTTCCAGTTACACCTTTCCTGCCGGCAAGATCCTTTTTTCCCCAGCCCAAATTCTAATGCAGTGGTTCTCAGCAAAGGCAAATTTTGTGCCCTAGGGGACACCTGGCAACATCTGAAGACATACTGACTGTCGCAACTGCAGGGGATGGAAGGTTTGCTACCGATAAGTAGCAGGTCGAGGCCAGTGAGGCTGCGAAACATCCCGCTATGCACAGGACGGCCCCAAGACGAAAGATCACCCAGCCCAAAATGTCAGCAGTGATGAGGCTGCGAAATCCCGCCCTGTGTCTGTAATGCTGCAGGCCTCAGGGTCTCAGACACCAACTCAAAACTTCAGCTGTAGGCAGCATAATCTTTTCACTAGCGAATCCGTTAACCAGGGTCCTACCTGCCCTTCCCTTTGGTGGGAAGAATTACTACAATTTCTTAAAGTGCTGTTGAAAAGTTTAACAAACAGCACGTTTCTATGTTAGAAATATAAGCCTATAATTCTCTCCAGGTGGTGAAATTATAGGCAATTTTAAATATTTTTGTCATTTTCATTTTTCCAGTTTTCAGTATTCAGCATGTATTACTTTTTTATAATAAGTTAAAGATATACATCATAAAACTACCTATTTTAGATAGTCCACAGCATTTTACTGATTCGTGGTACATTCAGAATGGGAAAGCCAATGTGCAGGCACCTTGGGAGAAAAGCTAACATGCCTGCCAGGAGACTCCAGGAGTCTGGGCTCATCACAAGGTAGGATCTGAGTGAAGAATGACGTGGCCTGAGCTCAATGTCTAGAAGATTCCACTAATCCCAAAGAAATCCAAACGGCCGTTTAAACTTACTGGTAACAAAGCTCACCTCAGAGCCAGAGCAGTAGACCACTTATAGCCTCCAGTCCAATTGCAATACAGCATTTTGGGAAAAGTACGGTTACCTTAAAAAAAAAAAAAAAGAAAAATACATGGTATAAAAATACTCTCAGAAAGACTTAATTGTAACAAATGGCCTCAACATTTAAAATTTGAAAAGTAAACTCTCTTTACAATAATATATGTTTAAGTGAATAGTGCAAAACCCTTACCATCTCCAAGTATACATGTAATGCTGAAATCAGCTAAGTTAGAATTACAACTTAAAGAACATGAAATGCTCAATGAGGTATCAAGACTTGGGGGAAGTTACAAGTATATGAGACAGTGTGGTCCCAAGGCATAGAAATTATCCAGTAGGAAAAGATGAGAAAGTCTAGAACTAGAAACATACAATCACTTCAAGTATGACAGAGGCTACACACGGTCAGCAGGGAAGAGCTGAGACAAGTGGCCATCCACGTGGAGGGAGCCATTAAAGCTGTATCCACCTCACACCATCTACCAAGAGCAATTCCGGGTGGTTTCTAACTAAACCAAAATGTGAAAGGCTAAACTTACAACTTTCAAAAGACAACATCGCAAATTGTCTTTATAAACCTGGGGTAGAAAAAGATTTCTTAAAACCACAACAAAAAAGGACTAACTCTAATACCTTAAACTAATTATGTTTTTAAAGTTCTGTTCATGAAAATATACCATAATGTTAAAAAAACAAAAAAGTCAAAATCTGGGAGAGCGTTTCAGGGACAGTACAGATAATACCCAAAATATAAAAGAAGTCTAGACAACTTTAAGACTTTAAATATGGATCAGCAAGAATAGTTACGTAGCGCTATTGGGAATGTAAGCTAATATAGCCATTTAAAGAGTAACACACCCGGAAAGTACCCGCTAAAGAAGCTCTTGCACATGTGCAATCAGGAGAGGGGCAAAGAAATTTTAACAGTCACAAGAGCAAAAAACGGCACATAATCAGAACATATTGGAGAGTAGATAAAACTGTGATATAAGCTTACAAGAGATTACTACACAGAAGTAAAAAAAAAAAAAAAGAAATAAGAGAAGTCACATGGATGAATTGTAGAGCCATAATGTTGAGAGGAAATTAGAAAGTCCCAGAAGACCACCAGCCTGATGTCATCTTATACAGCCCTAAAACAGGCATTATCAAATATATGGTACTGTATTTTATTACATACATACAATAAAAGTATAGAAAATTTTTAAAAGGAAGTGAAGTGATAAGAAACAATTCAAAAGGATGGTTACCTTGGAAGAGGAGGTAGAGCGACCAGGCGAAGGCAAGCACTCACGTGGCTGCAATGGTACTGGTGCTGTTTCACTGTTATTTTGGGTAAAAGTCAACTAGTGTATTATGCTTTATACTTCCCCTAGTTTTCTTATTTTATGAAATATTACATTTAAAAAGATAACAAATGCAATTTTCTGGGTGCTTTATTTTAGTATGTTGAGTTTATTAATGAGGGTTGGCACATCTAAAAAGCTGCTGATACCTGTTTCTAATTAAGTAATTTGACTCTCAAATTTCTGGTTAAAGTCCCTTCAATAAACATAGAGAAAACCATTTTGCTGACAAACGTCCCTGAACTCTGACTTACCCAGGCAGTGGACGTGGTCCCGCACAGTGCAGTTGGCAGTATAGCGCTGCCGGGGACAGGACACCGTCATGCAGCTGGTGGAATTGGAACACTCGTAATCTGTTTCAGGAAGCTGCCAGCAAAATCTGCAAGTCATGTTAATGATGAAGTTCTTCTGGGATTTGAAGTCTTGATCCTATGTAGCAAACGACACAAAACTCATCAATTGCAATGGAGTAGTCTGTTAAGATGTTGGTCACATGGCACAAAATTCCTAAAACGCTTGTATTTAGGACCTAGGAGTAAGTGTCAGGAAAACAGTTACCAAAACAGTATGTATGCAAAATAAATGTATATGGTATGACCCCATAATCATAAAAATACACACCCAAATAAATGTACCTAAGGGGAAAAAAAGTAGATAAATTCACATCAAAATAGCAAAAGTTATTTCAGGGTGATAGAATTATTTCATCACTTTGGCTTAGCTAAGTTTTTCACAGTAAACATGTACTTTTGTAACACAGCAAAGAGGAAAATGTATTTTAGAAAGTCAATCGCGAATGGCTAGAAGGAACTGATGAACGCATTTGTTGAAGGTCACTGAGCTTCAAGCTTCAAGGGAGGAGTGGAATCCAGGTCTCTCAACCCCAGCCTGACACTTCTGTAGTGGTTAACCCACCGCTTTGCTTCTGAGTTGCCAGCCTTCCCTAACATCTCCTACCTTGCACAGCCCGGCAACTCTGGGTTGTTACAGCTGCTCCTACCTTCAGAGCATGTGGCATGCTTTATCCAGAGGCAGCCCAACTCAGAAGCGCTGCATGACGTGTGGAGGCTCAGTGAGTGTTCCCTGGTGGCCAGAGATAGTTTTTCATTTCAATTTCAAAAGCCATTATTTTGTTTTCTGCTTACAAAAGTACATGTTCTTTCTATGTTACACATTTGAAGATTACAGACAAAAACCTATAGGTGTTCAGAGCTAACTACTTTTAATCTTCTTTCCGTTTCTTTTACGTGTATATTTATAAATTTGCTAAAATGGAATTATACTGAAAGCACGCTGTAGTCTTTTCACTCCACCTGACATTACATTGTAATGTATATTTTTTAAATCATTTTTATGAAGCATCATATATATATATCTTATATATATGTGTGTATGTATACATATACATATACACACACACACACACACACACACAAACACACTATTCTTTTTGTCTTTTTTTTGAGATGGAGTCTCACTCGGTTGTCCAGGCTGGAGTGCAGTGGTGCAATCTCAGCTCACTGCAACCTCCACCTGCCAGGTTCAAGCAATTCTCCTGGCTCAGCCTCCCGAGGAGCTGGGATTACAGAGGCACAACACCATGCCCAGCTAATTTTTGTATTTTTAGTAGAGACGGGGTTTCACCATATTGGCCAGGCTGGTCTCAACCTCCTGGTCTCAGGTGATCCGCTGGCCTCGGCCTCCCAAAGTGCTGGGATTAACACGTGCGAGCCACCACGTCCGGCTCATATTTGTTTTTTTTTTTTAACATTTCACAAATGTGCTTGTCATTTCTGCACAAGAGCCATTCTCATTTTCTCTAATTTGTTCCAATTTTGGTATATGTGCTGGTGAAGCAAGTAATGTTAATTTTCTTATGAATGCAAAACCACTTTTCATGGAAAGCATTCCAATGCGGATAAGGCATCGCCTGATTTAGGCAAGCAGTTTGACCTGTTAGAAACCATGTTTACAGCTGCCTGTTTTCAGTGATGTGCTTAAAATACAAGTTTTTTTTTTAATAAGTAATCATTTTATTATTTGTTATATGATATTATTTTCACAGGTCTGATTGAATAAAACATATGCATTTTTATGCCACCAGCAGAGAACCCATATTCAGCTATCAGACCACCTAATTTTATATGCTGGAACACCACCTGCTAATGTGGCTCCAACAGTAGATTGGAAACTTTCTTTAACCGTATTTCCATATTTCACAGTAGGAATATTAAAAGTGCATTTTTCAATACCAGAATGCTAGTGTTCAAATAGAAGTAACTATAACCAAAACATATGTGTTTGTCTAATCCACACCATTAACAATCATTACTTTATTTGCAGAATGACACGAATTACACAGCATCCACTGGACCTCTGTTCAAAGATGGCAAAACTGATTATATCTTGATTTATAGAAAGACGAATACACAATACCACACACAAAAAAAAAAACGCATTTGAAAAGAACCTCAGGGCAGAAGGCTTGATGTTGGAGAAGGAGGTAGGTGATTTACTATTGTAGTTATGTAATAAAATGAAAACACAAGTTTTTTTAATCGTTTTTTAAAAAGTAGGTTACACTCACGCCTATAATCCCAGCACTTTGGAAGGCCAAGACGGGTGGATCACGAGGTCAAGAGATCAAGACCATCCTGGTCAACATGGTGAAACCCCATCTCTTCTAATAATACAAAAATTAGCTGGGCATAGTGGCGCCTGCCTGTAGTCCCAGTTACTCGGGAGGCTGAGGCAGGAGAATAGCTTGAAGCCAGGAGGCGGAGGCTGCGGTGAGCAAAGATCTCACCACTGCACTCCAGCCTGGGTAATAAGAGAGAAACTCCATCTCAAAAAACACATGTACAAGGTACACATTTCAAGACACAGCAGGAGAGTGGGCAGTGAGTCGGTCTTGTCTGGCCCGGCCTCTGGAACCACTGCCCTCCCCCCCACCAAGTACCCTCTGCACTTCCAGGGAGAGCCTATTCTACACACAGGCACATTTATGTCACCTATATTTAACCTTCCCAATGCTTCCACTTAATTTTGTACACATGTCAGTTCATTATCTCTGAGCTTCCTACTTCTTTTTAATGGCCACAATGGGTTTATTCTATTACATGTGTACCATAAATTAAGAAGTTCTCTCTTGGACATTTCACTTCTTTCGAATCTTTTGCTTTAATGAGCAATACAGCTAAAAAATAAGCACACTTATTTGCATCCATGTATAATAATATATATAACATAAATTTCTAGAGGTAGAACTGCTAAGTCGATGATTATGTGTAATTGTAAATTTAACAGATATGACAAATCGCCTTTAAGAGGTTGACCAATTTGACTACCCATTAATAAGATATGAGTATCTGACCCTTATACTCTCACAAACTCAGAGTTAAGTTAAATTTAAAAAGTCAAATTAAAAAAATTTTTTTTGTCCATCTGAGGGTTAAAAATGTATTAGTTTGTTTTTAATTATGAAAAACTTATCCATGTTTTTCATGTAATAATACAAATAAGTCTGTTTGTATTTCCTTTCCTATGAACCATCTGCTCATGTCCTAACACGGTTTTTCTATAAGACTGTCATCTTTTCCATGTGGGTTTTTAGGAAGTGTTTATATATTACTGATATTAGTGTATCAATTGTCACATGTTAGAAACACTTTTTCCTAGTTTGCCATGTCTTTTGCCTTTATGCTTTTTTTTTTTTTTTAAGATCATGCAGAAATCTCTGATTTTTAGTAGTCAAATGTATCAATTCTTTCTTTTATGGCTTCTAAGCTTTATTTCATACTGAGAAAAATATTCCCCATTTTGAGAACAACTATCTCGTGTTCTCTCTGGTACTTCCGGATTACATCTTTGGACTATCTGGAATTCATTCTGGACAAGACAGGGGTTCCACTTAATTTTGTTCCAGAGAGCTCCCCAGGCATTCTGGCATTTACTGAATCCATCTTCTCACAGACAAACACTGGGCCTTCAAAAGCTCATCTATGGCAGAAAGACGCTTCCACCCGCTCTGTACACTAGCTGTCACTACTAAGAACACAAAATCCATCTGAACAAATCAGACTTGCTTTAGATATGCTAGTAGACTAAGATCTTCTCCAGTCCTACAAAGCAACATTTCTGTCAAGCGCATTTCCAGCAGACATCAACCGGCTTGACAGTTATCATTATAACTAAAACAGCAGTGAGCTGACACGAAAAGGTCTATTGGGTTTTTTTACATTTATTTCTACTTAACAGGGCAAACATAAAAGAATATAAAAATTATTCAGAATTTATTCTCAATAGTCACATCTGAACTGCTCTTCTAACTTGAAGTTTACAGTGAATGTATTTAGAATAAGTAAGCCATAGTACTTACAACACAGGTAACAGATGGTTTCACTGTACAGTCAAAAGTGACAGGCTTCCCATAGATACAGGAGAAATTTGTTGTGCAGTCTATACAGTCTGCAGGAAGTCTGCTACACAAACCATTGCTTGGACACTTCATCACATAAGGTGGGATTTCAGTACTTTCTGTGAGAGGTAAGAGAGAAGCTTATTCTCCTACAATACTGATTCGAATAACAGAGGAGAATAATCTTCTAAGGTTAAGAGACATGATCATTAGCAATTAGACACTGCACTGGAATGGAAAAAGCATGGGGCTGGAGCCAGAGACACCTGCAATTAAAGCAGAGTTCTGCAAATAACCAGCTGTGTGACCTGGTGGGCACCAAACTTGTAAAACATTACTTCATTCCTGCCTCCCAAGTGGCTGTGAAAACTAAAGGTGCTCACATACAAATAACGCATAGAAAATTCTGGGTATACATTAAGAGCTTTTTTTAAGAAAATCTATCATTTTGTCAGTTGAAAAACTAAAACTTATAGTAGGGTTTGTGCAAAATCACAGAGGAAGTCTGTGGCAAAACTGAAACTAGAACCCAAATCTCTCCATTTCCAATCCAACGTTCTCTTCAAAAATCTGAATTCACTAGTTTAGAAATGAAGCCACTGACATCCTCAGGGCATCAACTCTAGAAAATGTCATGATCTCATGAACACTGGTACTTTGATAAGCCATATTTGCTAATATAATATTTACAGCTTTATGCTACCAAAGTTCGAAATAGTTCTCTATTTTAATAACTTCTTCAGTGAGCTGCAACCTTTTTTTTTTTTTTTTTTTTTTTTTTTTGAGACGGAGTTTCATTCTTGTTGTCCAGGCTAGAGTGCAATGGCATGATCTCACAGCAACCTCTGCCTCCCGGGTTCAAGTGATTCTCCTGCCCCAGCCTCCCGAGTAGCTGGGATTACAGGCATGCACCACCACACCTGGCTAATTTTGTATTTTTAGTAGAGATGGGGTTTCTGAATGTTAGTCAGGCTGGTCTCGAACTCACAACCTCAGGTGATCTACCCAGCTCAGCCTCCCAAACTGCTGGGATTACAGGCGTGACCCACCGCGCCTGGCCTCAGCTACAACTTATTTCCAACCAACCTAATCAGGTGTGCAATGTATTTTTACCAACTGAGAGGATCAAAATTGCAAGTATTCCTGAAAAGGGCTTTCAAAAGCCTGCAAGAGTCAAGAACTCTTGCGCTTTCTCTAAAAAGTAATCTGCATTTAAAATTCAAGTGCACTACTATTTTTTACATCCAAATAATGAGTAAAATACCTTTGCCGGTTTCAATTCACTGAAGTAATGTCACTCTAAACTGAAGAAATTAGAGTCAAAGCCTCCACTTAGCAAAACACACTAATGCTTATTTAAAACTGGTCCTACTTTACTCACTGCATTAAGTGGACAATTCTACAAAATACTCTTTTCTGTAATCCCATGACTATGTGGCTGGAAGGTGGACATTTAGAATCACAAAGCAGAAATGACTTTAGGCCATCAGACCAACCCCACCGCTTTAAAGATGAGAACCAAGGTCCAAAGGGCATAATTTGTTCAAGATTCCATAGCAAAACCAGACCTAGATTCCAGGTCTCCGCCAGCCCCTCTGTGATCCTTCCATTTCACACAGTCCTGGGGGAGCCTTTCATATATAACATCAGGAACAGGATTCTAGAAGTAGAGGAAATTTGCTGAAGGGAAAGAAGCACTGACTGAAGGTTACTTTGATGGAAGAAGTGGAAAAACAATAGAAATAAGGAGACAAATGAGCATGGGACTGGAAAAAGAGATGAGGTAGAAACGTCAAAAGGCATCCAAATGCGAAGACTATCTACTGAAAATGGCTTTGTATCTGCCCTTAATTCACATCATCTAAAATACCATAAAATATTCAAAAATAGAAAGTGACTTCGTATACTAAAGGAAATTTTTATCAAAAACAAAGAGAAATTACTAGATATAAATACACACATTTACTAGAATAGAAAATGTCTAGTACCTGCTGCCCTGGGAACTACTGTGAATGTACGTGTTGGGCCCGGATCCTTTATTGACTGAGCCAGCGCCTGCGATTGCTCTAAATTTAAGGATCGTACAATTAGACAAACATGTTATCCCGGGACGAGAAAACCTTGTTTTGTGTGGTTAACACGGCGGGTCTACACCAGGCCAATAAGCTGCTCATGAAAACCTCACGGCTTGGCATCCAGAAAACACAAAACTTAGGGACGAAACGTCAACGGGCAGACAACAGTTCAGATCTGCCGGCAACGAGGGACCGAAGGGCGGCATCGCGCTCCAGTTCCGCCTCCCCGGCCGAGCCCCCAAGCGCTCCACCTCCGTTCCAGGGCTCCGCAACCACGATGGGCGGCTCGGTGTCGTCGTAACGGAGGGGCGGCCTCCGGCCGGGCGGCCAGGGCGCCAGACTCCAGATGCAGCGACGTGCCGCCCGGAGCCGGGCACTCGGCCTCCTCCCCACGTCAGCCTCCGCCCGTGGGCCCAGCCTCCTAGCAGCTCCCGGGGCCCCGCTGCCACTCAGCTCCACCCGGCGCTGATCCCGGCCTTTGACTCACCACCGCCTGACAGAATGCAGAACTGCGAGAGAAAGAGCAGCACGCGACACAGGGAGCGGAGGCCCCGAAGCGGGCGCACCCCAGCGGCCATCTTGCCGGCGCGTGCACACGTTCAGGCCGGGGACGGGCCCTGCGAGTCGGGGCGGGGCGCGGGCGCGCGCGTGTGGGGGCGGGGCGAGGCAGGCGCGGCTCGGAGCGGGAGCGGGCAGTGGGCGCAGGCGCGGTGCGTCTTCGGGCGGCTGGCGTCTGCGCTTGCGCTTTCCCGCGTGGTTTTTCTTCCGGTTGCGTTCTCTGGGAGGTCCACGAGGAAGATGCGAGCTTGGGAGGTTGCTCGGTTCCAACGCGCACCTCACGCCCTTGAATGAAGGGCTCACTAATCTTTTCACCGCAGGAGACCTGAGAAAGGTCATCCGTGGACCGAAATGCACGCCCGAAGCCACCCAGAGCAGAGGCTGGCAAATGTGGGTGTGGTCGGATGTTGTGTGCTGGGTCCTGTGCGAAGGTTCTGAGGACAGTATCGCGTGGCGTTTCATCCTAAAGACACTTATTTACAGTCGGGGAAGCGGCCCCGGGGCGACGAGGGGCCCTCCCCTGGGGGCCCGCGCTCAAGCCTGCCGTGGTTTTCACTTTTGGCCAGCTCGTGGAAGATACGCAGCACTTTTAGAAAGTTGCTCTCAAACCTGGAGTAGCAGGATGGCCCGAGGCGCTGCGAAGTGAGGGGAGGGTCCAGAGCACAGCCCTGCCTGGGGAAGGGAGGACATCGGGGGAGCAGCGCTCAGGCCCCAGCTCGCTGCGACCCTTGCCGGTTTCTATCACAAAACACCTGGAAGGAACCATGCTGGTGACCTGCGCTCTCCTCCCACCCACCTGCGGGATCATTCATTCCGGGGCCTTCTGACTGCCATCCCTCAAGTGCATGTTTGATGAATGATTTTTTTAAAAAATACATGGAAAAGTGCCTGCACGTAAGCCCTGAATGTTAGCTTTAAAAATCGTTATCACGCCCGGGCGCGGTGGCTCACGCCTGTAATCCCAGAACTTTGGGAGGCCGAGGTGGGCGGATCACGAGGTCAGGAGATCGAGAGCATCCTGGCTAACACAGTGAAACCCCAACTCTACTAAAAATACAAATAATTAGCCGGGCATGGTTGCAGACGCCTGTGGTCCCAGCTACTCGGGAGGCTGAGGCGGGAAAATCGCTTAAACCCAGGAGGCGGAGGTTGCGGTGAGCTGATATCGCGCCATTGCACTCCAGCCTGGTGACAGAGCAAGACTTGGTCTTAAAAAAAAAAAAAAAAAAAAATCACACAATCTGTACCGTATACTGCTACACAGGTCTGATAGATATTGTTTTGTTTTACCAACTGTTTAACTGTTCACATCCCTCAGGAAGTTAACTAAATGATCAGTATATTGAACAGAGAGAATTTCTGACATTTCCTTTGAATTCCGCAGCACCTCACCAAATACACAATACTTCTTGTTTGGTAGCTGAATTCTCTATTGACATAATGCCATTTTAATTCAGTTCTGGGCAAGTAACGCATTCCTCTCTGTTAAATCTGAAATCCATTTCAGTATATAAATCAATGGAATGTCATCCCATCAAAAAAGTAATTTAGGTGAGCAGCTTAACTGAAACACTGGAAACACTGATGCAGTTCATTTGGGAATTTATTTTTTCTAAAGCTGAACAAAACCCAATTATGAATTACAAACATTTAAAAGGCAACTCAACCTATAGTGCAAACACCAGATTCCACAGAACTGAATTCCTGTCGGTAATCCAATAATTAGTAGTAGCTGCTGCTTTTGTGGTTATTGGCTGAAACAAAATTAAGTAATCATTCCAAATTTGAAGATAAAGTTTCAGTGTGAATTTTAGTAAAAGAGTCATAAAAATACCTGAGATATATTAGAAAATAAGATTTTCCCTCATATTAAAAAAACTGCAGACTTTTATTTGAAACTCATCTTTAGAAAATCACAAATCATAGCACTAACATTTCATAAACATTTCCTAGTGTTTTGTTTCCCTTTTTCAATAAATAGTATTTCCCCATTTAAGTTTCTCAAGGGATTGATTGCTGTGCCCTCTGTCCCCCGTGGACATTAGTGAATTAAACTTTGTACATGTCAGCTACACATTCACTGTCTCCTTCCTCAGCTTAGTCCATGAGTGGACCCATCCGTGGCTCCAAAGTCTTAGAAGTACTAACATGTTAAGAAAAATACATTTTTAAGGGTCAAAACAAAGTTACACAGAAGCAAATACCAGGGAAGGACTTCAAAAGTCCTCCTCAGCATTGAGTGCCCGTGACTTCTTGAGATTCTTCAGTTTATCAATGGCAGAAGTTACTAAAATCTCTCCATGAATTCTGTTGTCTCTTGTTCGTACGTTTACAGCATTATTTATCTTTTCCTTTTCTCCAACCACTGCAAAAAGGTAAAGAAATGTATTTTAAATCAGTTCACCAAGCATTAAGTCAGCAGTCACATGAAATGTTTTTATCGAGTTGTTCATTATTAATACATATCATCTAATGAGCATTAGGTTCATCCTCTGGTAAGTTTCTTGAGGGAAGGAATGACTTCTGATCCCATCTCTCTATTGTCCACTTGAGAGAACAGCTCTTGTGGTCCTAGGGTGCAAATGAGAGTGGGGAGCTCTTACAGACTCACTCACTCCACCTGGCATACCTGATGAGCCAATGGGTGGACACCAGACCCATGCCACCCCACCAGAATTTTCTGGAATGTGGGTAAAAAGTTTGCTTTCTCTAGTGACCCATATTGTGAGATGATGCAGGAATATACAGCCATGCTTCTTGCCATACAGAAGGAAGAAACCGGTCTGCAGTAAGTGGAATAAAGTAGATATTTAAGAGAAGCATAAAGAACCAGAGTGAGACAGGAGCCAGAAATGGGAGAAACAGTCCTGGTGAGGGCTGAGCTCTGATTGCTCTTCTAGAGGTTTGGTATTTAACTCTACCTTTCAAGTCATAGGAAACTCCAAGACCCTTCCATTAAAATGCTGTCTTTGTCTAAACTAAGTTGAGATTTCTGCCACCATAAGAAGCCTGATGGAAACACCACAATACCTACTATGACGTCAAACATGATCAGTGAAACACTGTCAATAGAGCAACTCTATGCATATTTATTTTGCCTTCTATAGACTCCCAACTTACAGGAAATAGCAATACTATGCCTGCAGTTATGTCAATGTTAGTTTCTCTTAATTTTGGAATCATTTTTAAAGCCTAAATTTTAGATTCTGCATCTAATTAGTCATGTGCTAAAAGGACATTTTATTTTTCGCCTAAATCTTTTCCTTTGGATCATTTTAAATTTGGAATCTTTTCTTTTGTTAGTTTAATCCCGAAGATTTCTCATAAGCCAGAAAAGTGAGGAAAAATATTTCAGGCCTATGAGGCTGAAATATAAAGAATATAATTCTACTGATGGGATCATTTTCACAGTTCTTTTCATTGTTGGCAGGCAATACTAACTATTGCTAGTAAAACTATCCCAGGGGATTCAGGTAAAACTTTATAACTCTTCTTGCGGCAAACAACAAAGAGCGCCTAGGAACAGCTAAGCCAGGAACACTATGGACTCTTCTTTTTGTGTAAGTATTAAATAGACAAATCATGATAATCAACTAGTTGAACCATATTTCTTATTTGGTCTTTTGGAACTGAAGTGAAAAAAAAAAAAAACCAAAAAAAAAAACAAGCATTTGGAAAAATACATGCAAACTTAAATTACCCAAAATAAAATTGTACTGAGCCAGCTGTGCATTTCGTATTTTCTTATTTAGTGTACAACTATGATCTAAGTCAACGTCAGCCATAAATCCTTCTTCAAAAAATTCACTGGATACCTAGAAGAAAATGAAACACCTTTATTGTTGCATTATGGTACCTAGTCTCCAAGAAGAGCCCCAATGTTCCCCACTCTTGGTATTCATACCCTTTTAGAGTTCCCTGCTCACTATACCAGAGCAGGTCCATGTGACCATAAGTAAGTACAGAAGTCTTGGTGTATCATTTCTGAGACTAGTTCACAAAAGACTGCAGCTCCCATCTCTCTCTGATCACTAACTGGGGGACCAACCGCCATGTGAGGACATTCAGGCAACCGATGAAGAAGCCCAGGTGATGAGGAGCTGTGTCCACCAACTGTGAGTGAGCCCTGAGGCCTACAGCCCTGGCCCACAGCGAGACTGCAGCCTCAGGAGATGCTCTGCACCACAATCCACCAACTGAGCTGCTCCCAGACCCTGACTCATAGGAACTGTGAGATAATAAATGTTTGTTGTTCAAAGCTGCTAAGTTTTGGGGTCACTTGTGACACAGCAACAGCTAATATTCTTCCCTAATAGAGCCATGTAGAAATGAATAATTATGAGATGTTTTAAAATACTAATTTTCCAAAAACATTAAGAAATAAAATAGTTCTGATACAGCCAGAGACATGATACATTAAGAAATAAAATACTTCTGATATAGCTACAGAGACATGATACATGTGTTACTCCCAACTACTGAAAACACGGATTGTTAACGTGTCAGTTCTGCAATATTTCAAAACATGAAGGACATTCCAAATCAATGACCTACACAGAATACATGCAAGATTATTATGTACTTTAAACGACTCTGATTTTACCTGAAGTGCATACTTTTCACAAGTTGGCCCCACAGGGATGACCATTACCTGACGAGGAGATAGCCAGAAAGGCCTGAAAAATACATAAAATACGTCTTTTCAAAGACTAATAAAGGCTACTTATTAAATGATTTCAAATAACCAAAGATTCTTTTAAAGACTTTACAAGAGGGCAGTTTCAGTAGAGTGGCATGGAAGAAAACCAAATTATATTAAAGTTTGAAGGCCGCAAAGTAAACAAAAGAAGAATTTTGGAATTTCGATAGCACAAGTGTGGGGAGAATCACACCCTTGTAGAGTTCCCTGCTCACTATACCAGAGCGGGTCTATGTGACCATAAATTAGTGCGGAAGTGTTGGCGCATCATTTCTGAGACTAGTTCATAAAAGACTGCAGCTCCCATCTCTGCAAAGGGCTGACCATGCACTTACCATATGACCCAGCAACTGCACTCCTGGACACTTGTC